ACATTTATAGTTTACATATAGGCAAGGTATTATACATTTATAGTTTACATATAGGCAAGGTATTATATATGCATTTATAGTTTACATATAGGCAAGGTATTATATATGCATTTATAGTTTACATATAGGCAAGGAATTATACATTTATAGTTTACTTATAGGCAAGGTATTATATACACATTTATAGTTTACATATAGGCAAGGTATTATACATTTAAAGGTGAACGAAAGGCCTGAAATAAAATCATCATACAAAAAACAGGCCATGCAGAAGGAAACATCACATATACGATAACGGTCGGGATTCACCATCAAATACAACAATCATGCAACTATAGGGTAAATATGAAAACACTATGTCAACACTTCGTAGGAGTGGGGATGAGGTAGAGTTGGAGGAATAGGGTAAATTTTAATACATCATGTCAATTCATTATTTGGGTAGGGTGGGAAATATGGCTATAACAACATACTATTTTGTATAAGGGTAGGGTTCGGCATAGGAGTTTGATGGAATAGGAACAGAAACTAAACTGGAACTGTGTGGCAAAACTACCTCCACCCCCCCACAAAGTATATGTTCAAATTGTGTATAGTGTTAGCTAGGGAAAGGACAAAGTTGATTAAGTGAATTTGGATATAATCACTTTACTTGTAGAGGTAGGGGGTTGGAGAAGGTAAAAGATATACTATTACAATATTTTGTATGTGTTAAGTCGCATTTTAAAACGTTGTAGGGGTAGGTGTTTAGGGGCTGCAGTGGGAGTCAATATCTTGTTTCTTGGCAGCGGTTGGTGGTTGGGGTACAAGGAGAGAATACACAATGACAATATATTGTCAAGGGTTTGAGGTTGGGGTAACATAGATATGTACTCATGCAAAAATCATCACGACGCGAGACAGAGTGAAAGAAAATTCAAGCAAGCACAAAAACAAATTGACAATTACCACTGGAGCATGAGTAATTTCCTGTAATAAAAGTTAAATATGAAAAAATTAGTGATTATTTTTTTAATATCATCAGTAGCTTTTCCTTCAGAGACATAACACCGTAGATAACGATTCTCTATACAGCTGGTCATTTTCGAATACCATAGATAACGATTCTCTATACATCTGGTCATTTTTCAAATACCATAGATAACGATTCTCTATACATCCGGTCATTTTTCAAATACCATAGATAACGATTCTCTATACATCCGGTCATTTTTCGTATACCATAGATAATGAATCTCTATACATCCGGTCATTTTTTGTATACCATAGATAACAATTCTCTATACATCCGGTCAGTTTTCGTATACCATAGATAACGATTCTCTATGCAGTTGGTCAGTTTTCGTATACCATAGATAAAGATTCTCTTTACAGTTTGTCAGTTTTCGTATACCATAGATAACGATTCTCTAAACAGCTGGTCAGTTTTCGTATACCATAGATAAAGATTCTCTTTACAGTTTGTCAGTTTTCGTATACCATAGATAACGATTCTCTAAACAGCTGGTCAGTTTTCGTATACCATAGATAAAGATTCTCTTTACAGTTGGTCAGTTTTCGTAGTCTACCTCTCTGTACATTTCTCTAACAAGCCATGCAAAACGATGTTTAAACTTTATAGTATCATATTACTCACATGATACTGCATTGGTAGAATTTTCATTAGTTAAACATTATTATAATGTTTATAAAAAGTTACATTTTCATTATTTGATGAAAGGTTTGAATAATCAAGTAAAAATAATATATTACAGTACATGCAGTCTTAAATGAGTTTAACTGATTATTTTATACCTGTCAGTGATGGTAAAAATTAATGTAAACATCAAAATCACACCTCTCGTCTGATTAAAAATCAAGTTAGGTTAACAAGATATCCATGCAATCATCCCTTCATGATATAATAAACAGAGAAATTCTCTGCAACTTTTTTGAGTTGGTGGTTTTACTGATTATCAAAATCCTAAAAAATCAAATACTGAAAGGAAATTAAATCGTGTATACACGATATCTGAAGTAACAAAATAAGACGTACCTCCGAGAGGATCACAGAAATATCCAGCAGGGCAGACATCACAGGTCGACTCGCCAGTGTTAAACTGGTAGGTGCCGTTGGGACAGATGTCTGGGTTGTCTGACGCCTCCAAACAGAAGTGGCCCTGAGGGCACAAGTAGGACGAAGGAGTGCTACTACTCTGACCCCCAGGGCAGAAGTAACCGGGGGCACAGTTCCCATCAGGCACCACATTGCCTGGGCCTAAAACCAACAATCAGCTTAGAGTTACCAGTACGGTGAAATGAACGTTGCTGAGTGAGCTTCACGCTTTGACTTTCACATTTATTCAAAGCTACAAAATATACTTCCTACTATAAAATTCTGTTTGATCATTAACATTAATGTTCATTATAGTCTTTTTCATTTTACCTGGTACTTGTTTTCTATTGATAAACTCATATTCATGATGTAATATTCATATCATACCAAGATTTTGTGCCTTATCCATCTTTGTAACCAAAAAACCCAATTTACCTTCCCAAAACAGGTCCCAATGAATGATAGCTTGTTTGATGTTCCTTCTCATATACAACTATAGCAATGTCGGGCTAACAGTCCATGGAGGCAATCTAACATTTGGACTAGGTCTAATTCAGGGATGGTAGACAGGAATTTAAAAATTTGTTGTTTTTTGGCTACAAGGATGAACATAGGTACAGAAAATGTGATTACCCCAGCTATTTCTGATTATTTTACCTTGGCAGTACAGGCCAGCTGTACAGTTGTCACACTCATCAAGGGCAGCACGGTTAGTCGAGTTTGCGAATGTTCCCGCGGGGCAGGGAGATGGTGTCTCTGTACCCTCTACACAGTAATGGCCCACTGTACAGATCTTCTGTGTGGGCACAGTGCTCCGGTCATCACAGTACCAGCCAGCAGTACAGTTACCTAAAAACAGAGACGGTGTAAGGTTATCTATATACAGAGGAAGAGTAGTGAAGTAAATATGAACATGGCATGACCGTAGCCGGGCAAATAGAATGAGAGTACAAATTGAAACCGATACATCTGAACAGGTTTGAGAGGAATTTAATTGAGTGGATTAAAAATTGGGATTGACTTACTGAAAAATGAGCCTGCAAGAAAGCAGACAAATACACAACTCTTTTTATTATTTCTAAGATACAGGTTTAAATGCAAAAGTGATTGAAATTTATTCTCACCTGTAGGTACAGTCAGTCCAGGTGTTTCACAGTACTGTCCACCATCACATGGTACAGGCTTGGCAGAGCCCACAGGACAGTAGTAACCAGAAGGGCAGATCCCACCAGTCGACATTGTGAAGTTAGAACAGGTACAATCCCACAGGGGAGCACAGGTGTCATTGGAGTACAGGTCACTGAAATATACAGGTGTTATTAAGTACAGGTCACTGAAATACACAGGTGTCATTGGAGTACAGGTCATTGAAATATACAGGTGTCATTGAAATACAAAGGTGTCATTGGAGTACAGATCATTGAAATATACAGGTGTCATTTAAACAGCGGTCACTGAAATATACAGGTGTCATTGGTGTCATTGGAGTACAGGTCATTGAAATACACAGGTGTCATTGGAGAACAGGTCACTGGAATATACAGGTGTCATTGAAACACAGAGGTGTCATTGGAGTACAGGTCACTGGAATATACAGGTGTCATTGAAATACAGGTCACTGAAATATACAGGTGTCATTAAGTACAGGTCACTGAAATATACAGGTGTCATTGGTGTCATTGGAGTACAGGTCATTGAAATATACAGGTCACTAAAATATACAGGTGTCATAAAGAAAAGGTCACTGAAATATACAGGTGTCATTGGAGTACAGGTTACTGAAATACACAGGTGTCATTGGAGTACAGGTCACTGAAATACAAAGGTGTCATTGGAGTACATGTCACTGAAATATGCAGGTGTCATTGGAGTACAGGTCACTGAAATATACAGATGTCATTGGAGTACAGGCCACTGAAATACACAGGTGTCATTAAGTACAGGTCACTGAAATACACAGGTGTCATTAAGTACAGGTCACTGACACTGACATACGCAGGTGTCATTGGAGTACAGGTCACTGAAATATGCAGGTGTCATTAAGTACAGGTCACTGGAATATACAGGTGTCATTGGAGTACAGGTCACTGGAATATACAGGTGTCATTGGAGTACAGGTCATTGGAATATACAGGTGTCATTGGAGTACAGGTCACTGAAATATTCAGGTGTCATTGAAGTACAGGTCACTGAAATACACAGGTGTCATTAAGTACAGGTCACTGACACTGACATACGCAGGTGTCATTGGAGTACAGGTCACTGAAATATGCAGGTGTCATTAAGTACAGGTTACTGGAATATACAGGTGTCATTGGAGTACAGGTCACTGGAATATACAGGTGTCATTGGAGTACAGGTCACTGGAATATACAGGTGTCATTGGAGTACAGGTCATTGGAATATACAGGTGTCATTGGAGTACAGGTCACTGAAATATTCAGGTGTCATTGAAATACAGGTCACTGAAATACACAGGTGTCATTATGTACAGGTCACTGACACTGACATACGCAGGTGTCATTGGAGTACAGGTCACTGAAATACACAGGTGTCATTGGAGTACAGGTCACTGAAATATACAGATGTCATTGGAGTACAGGCCACTGAAATACACAGGTGTCATTAAGTACAGGTCACTGAAATACACAGGTGTCATTAAGTACAGGTCACTGACACTGACATACGCAGGTGTCATTGGAGTACAGGTCACTGAAATATGCAGGTGTCATTAAGTACAGGTTACTGGAATATACAGGTGTCATTGGAGTACAGGTCACTGGAATATACAGGTGTCATTGGAGTACAGGTCACTGGAATATACAGGTGTCATTGGAGTACAGGTCATTGGAATATACAGGTGTCATTGGAGTACAAGTCACTGAAAGGTAGAGTGGAAATTTGGTCTTACTTGAGGGTTCCAGTGCTGGTGTTGAGGGCGCCTGAGTCATAAGGGCGACTTGAGGGGGACCTGCCCCCACAGTAGAATCCTGACTCGCAAAATCCATCAGGGTATACATTAGCTACTCCCTCACAATACTGTCCTGGTGGACAGTCTAAACAGTCAGATTCTGATGTTGCTCCTGTATAAAGAGAAATAAAGTACAAAACCATACTTAAGTTAATATAATTATGTTAACAGGAATTTATTGACAATAACACTAATAAATATCTCCAAAGTTAATTTTGACATATACCGTAAATAATGTTAATAATGACATTAAGTGTTCCTGCATTAAACCAATCAATAGGTCATGCTTATATGTGTATAATTTTCAAACTATATTCCCCGTGAGCCATCAGATTTTATTAAACATGTTGACCCCTAATTTACCTGGGCATGGTGACCCCTGATTAATCAGAGCATGATAATTTACCTGAGCATGTTGACCATTGCTTAACCTGCTGAACCAAATTTATCAAAGCATGTTGACATCTGATTGTTCTGAGCATGTTAACATCTGATTGTTCTGAGCATGTTGACCCCTTATTCATCCAGAAGCTTGTTTTATCTCTGATTGACCTTAGCATGTTGACCTCTAATTGACCTGGGTATGGTGGCCCTGATATATCAGAGCATGCAGACCCCTGATTTAACTGAGTAGCTTGACCCCCTGACTCACCTATAAGGTTGACCCCCTGACTTACCTGTAAGATTGACCCCTGACTTACCTGTAAGGTTGACCCCCTAACCTACCTGTAAGATTGACCCCTGACTTACCTGTAAGGTTGACCCCCTGACTTATCTGTAAGATTGACCCCTGACTTACCTGTTAGGTTGACCCCCTGACTTATCTGTAAGATTGACCCCTGACTTACCTGTAAGGTTGACCCCCTGACTTATCTGTAAGGTTGACCCCCTGACTTACCTGTAAGATTGACCCCTGACTTACCTGTAAGGTTGTTGTAGGTGCCGGGAGGACACGGGAATTGCATGTCAAACTCTGTGGCGACAGGACAGAAGTAACCGACTGGACATATTGTCGGTACAATGGTAGCATTCACACAGAAATACCCTGGAAACAACAACAGATGCTCATTATAGTCACTACTTAGTAACAAACTTTATTTTACCTACACAGTCGGTATACGTTATCTTATTTCATTGGTATATAATTGTATTATGTACTATAATTGTATCTAGATGTAAATGTTATTATCATGGTATAATATTAATGGTTGTATGGTTGTGTTATTGTATTGGTACAGTTATGTTGTTGTAATAACTCGGTGGAGGTAGTTTTACTTCCTATTATACCTACCTTGTGTACAGTCTATACAGCTACTCATGCCAACAGTAGGTGCGTACTTCCCTGGCCCGCAGGGAGACGCGTAGGTGGAGTTCTGAGGACACTCAAAGCCCGCTGGACACTGTCCACCTGTCCCTGTGAAGGTCACTCCAACATTGGGGGTGGCTGTATTAACACCTGTCAGACAGAAAGCAGCGTCATCACCAAAAATCTTAAATTACTTCTGTCATCATCGCCTTTACTGTAGTGCCATTATTGACATTTGAAAAATATTAATTAAAGGTCTAAACCATAATGATGGAGATCCAAAATTAAAACTATTTTATCTGTTCAACTCTCTCCATGATAAAAATATTTCTTTTTTTCCATTAGTTTCACCAGAGGAATGTTAAACTTGTTTTCTTTGTTCTTTTCTTTCATTATCTCATTCACAAAATAGGAAACTACAACGACTGTAGCCACATTGAGTTATAGATAAAACTATAAAAAAACCTCTTGTAATTCTGAACAGTTTAGAATTTTACCTGATACACAGTAATAGCCTGGAGAACACCCGCCAGCAGGTGCTGTAAGTCCAGTCACGTCACAGTAGGTCCCGCCTACACACTGTGTACACTCGGTTTCATTTGTCAGTCCAGTCGTAGACCCATAGGTACCTTATAAAAGAGACATTTCCTGTAAAAGCCGTAGTATCTTGGCCAATGTTTCTTGTTACACAGGTTGCTAGACTTAACTCAAGGAGGGGATTTAGTGGATACCCCAGACTCCATGTTTTTATAGGAATGATAATTAATTGAGATTGCGGTGACCTCATATTGGTTCATTCCTTCATCTGAGAGGAGGGTCAAATGGTCAGAAGAGGTCACAATGACCTTGCTTTGGACAGAACACCCTTTCATGATGCACCCCTTTCATGATGCACCTTTTAGCCATATCTACATTCCAAGTAAAAAACATTGCGAGATATGATCTTGAAACCTTAATATCTGCATCCGAGGACAAAGGTCAAAAGAGGTCGTCAAGACCTTGTTTTGATACCAGTGACACAAGGTCATTTCTCTTTATGTATACCTGGTACCTAGATACCAACTATGATACATAAACATTTGCCAGACGGACAGATGGACGGACTGATGAACGAACACATGCACAAGGTTAACACTTTCTATTCCAACATCTTTTGAAGCAGGAGTGTCCTTATCTACACCTTAAGCACATGTTTTCTTACTCTGATTTCTTTACATTCTTAATTCTTGGCTGGATGGAGGGGCAGCTATCTTACCTGTAGGGCAAGGAATGGTGTTACTGCCTGTACCAGCAGGACAGTAGAGTCCCTGTGGACAGGGGTCAGCACTGTGTCCAGATGTACAGTAGAAACCCTCTGGACAGGGGTAGCATACTCCGGCACCAGTGTGGTTCATGTAAGTTGCTGTGGCACAGGGTTGTGCTGTGACTGATCCTACTGGACAATAATTCCCAATAGGACAGATATCACCTGTTGTTCCATCTGAAATACACATTAAAGCATGGTTGATACATCCTCATTCTTACATTTCTGAAACAAAAATTGAAAACATCAAACGTTTCAATATCAATATATTTGACAAATATCTGGAATGAAAATCCTTCAAGGCAAAATTGGAGCTCTATATTTTGTAAAACAGTTGAAGGTTTCTAGAGAAAGGAGATTACGTTAACAGTGGAATCAGGTTAACTTACCAGTAGGGTCAGGTAAACTTACCAGTGGAATCAGGTTAACTTACCAGTAGGGTTGGGGTCCTTACCAGTGGAATCAGGTTAACTTACCAGTGGAATCAGGTTACCTTCCCAGTAGGGTTGGGGTCCCTACCAGTGGAATCAGGTAAACTTACCAGTAGGGTTGGGGTCCCTACCAGTGGAATCAGGTAANAACTTACCAGTGGAATCAGGTAAACTTACCAGTAGGGTTGGGGTCCCTACCAGTGGAATCAGGTAAACTTACCAGTGGAATCAGGTTACCTTCCCAGTAGGGTCAGGTAAACTTACCAGTGGAATCAGGTAAACTTACCAGTAGGGTTGGGGTCCTTACCAGTGGACTCAGGTAAACTTACCAGTGGAATCAGGTTACCTTCCCAGTAGGGTTGGGGTCCCTACCAGTGGGATCAGGTAAACTTACCAGTAGGGTTGGGGTCCCTACCAGTGGAATCAGGTTAACTTACCAGTGGAATCAGGTAAACTTACCGGTAGGGTTGGGGTCCCTACCAGTGGAATCAGGTTAACTTACCAGTAGGGTCAGGTAAACTTACTAGTAGGGTCAGGTAAACTTACCAGTAGGGTCGGGTAAACTTACCAGTAGGGTTGGGGTCCTTACCAGCGGAATCAGGTTAACTTACCAGTAGGGTCATGTAAGCTTACCAGTAGGGTCAGGTAAACTTACCAGTGGAATCAGGTTAATTTACCAGTGGAATCAGGTTAACTTACCAGTAGGGTTGGGGTCCTTACCAGTGGAATCAGGTATACTTACCAGTAGGGTCAGGTAAACTTACCAGTAGGGTTGGGGTCCTTACCAGTGGACTCAGGTAAACTTACCAGTGGAATCAGGTTACCTTCCCAGTACGGACAGGTAAACTTACCAGATGAATCAGGTTAACTTACCAGTAGGGTTGGGGTCCTTACCAGTGGACTCAGGTAAACTTACCAGTGGAATTAGGTTAACTTACCAGTAGGGTTGGGGACCTTACCAGTGGACTCAGGTAAACTTACCAGTGGAATCAGGTTAACTTACCAGTAGGGTCAGGATAACTTACCATTGGAATCAGGTTAACTTACCAGTGGAATCAGGTAAACTTACCGGTAGGGTTGGGGTCCCTACCAGTGGAATCAGGTTAACTTACCAGTAGGGTCAGGTAAACTTACTAGTAGGGTCAGGTAAACTTACCAGTAGGGTTGGGGTCCTTACCAGTGGAATCAGGTATACTTACCAGTAGGGTCAGGTAAACTTACCAGTAGGGTTGGGGTCCTTTGCTGCCAGTGTACAGTAGTATCCGGCCCAACAGTCGGCTGTGACCGTATCATTACCAGACTCCAGACAGTATTTACCACCAGTACAGTCTACACAGTCAGACAGTGCTATACGACCTACACAGACACAATAAAAAGTCTTCATGAATGGCAAAATAATACAAGAATGTGAATAACATTGGCTAAATATTTTGTTTTGAAGTTTTTTGTTTTTTTTTTATCTCTCAGTGGCTAGGATGAATCAACAAAAAAGTTTTACGATAAGTCCTGCATCAATTTATAACCGTTTATGGTTAAACCAAAAAATTTTTCTACATGAGGCAGTTGGTGAGGTCTTACCAGTGGATGGTTGGTATGTTCCTCTGGGGCACTCCACAGGGTACGCAGTGCCTCGAGGACAGTAATGTCCAGACGGACACACATATCCGTACGATTGACCAACAGGTGCAGTCTCTATGGAGGCACTGACACAGTAGTGTCCCTCTGTACACTGGTCCCAGGGGTTAGTGAGGCCATCGTTAGGGCAGTAATAACCCGGGTCACAGGGTATACACTCATTGGCATACCTCAGCCCAGTACCATTGTTGAAGGTTCCTTGTGGACAAAGGGTTCCTGACGAAAAACAACGCAGTTCAAAATGACATTTTAAACTCGCACATGTCTCACAAGACTCATATTGAGCTAAAAAGGACTCATAATGAGTCAAATAAGACTAATATTGAGTCAAAAAGATTCACAATTAGTTCTACAAGAATCGCATGTATTCAGACAAGACTATATCAAGTTGTATCAGACTTAAATACCAATGTTTGTCACACAAGCCTCGTGATGAACTGAAACAGCATTATGTCATTAAGACAAGACTTGCATTAAGTCACTAAGACAAGACTTGCATTTAACCTTTAAGTTTATGGAATGTAAAATTATGTATGATGTTGGAAAATGATAAGATACAGTGTGTAAACATTTTGATAGATTTTACAATTATCAAGTCCTTAGATAACATTATAAATACGGGCCTGTTACCGGGGTATTCATAAAACTGTTCTGGGGTATTCATAAAACTGTACCGGGATATTCATAAAACTGTACCGGGGTATTCATAAAACTGTACCGGGATATTCATAAAACTGTACCGGGGTATTCATAAAACTGTACCGGGGTATTCATAAAACTGTACCAGGGTATTCATAAAACTGTTCCCGGATATTCATAAAACTGTTCCGGGATATTCATAAAACTGTACCGGGGTATTCATAAAACTGTACCGGGATATTCATAAAACTGTACCGGGGTATTCATAAAACTGTTCCCGGATATTCATAAAACTGTTCCCGGATATTCATAAAACTGTACCGGGGTATTCATAAAACTGTTCTGGGGTATTCATAAAACTGTACCGGCGTATTCATAAAACTGTACCGGGGTATTCATAAAACTGTCCCGGGGTATTCATAAAACTGTACCGGGATATTCATAAAACTGTACCGGGGATATTAATAAAACTGTACCGGGGTATTCATAAAACTGTTCCGGGGGATTCATAAAACTGTACCGGGATATTCATAAAACTGTACCGGGGAATTTATTAAAACTGTACCGGGGTATTCATAAAACTGTACTGGGATATTCATAAAACTGTACCGGGGCATTCATAAAACTGTTCCCGGATATTCATAAAACTGTTCCGGGGTATTCATAAAACTGTACCGGGGGATTCATAAAACTGTTCCGGGGTATTCATAAAACTGTTCCAGGGTATTCATAAAACTGTACTGGGGTATTCATAAAACTGTACCGGGATATTCATAAAACTGTACCGGGGAATTTATTAAAACTGTACCGGGGTATTCATAAAACTGTTCCGGGGGATTCATAAAACTGTACCGGGATATTCATAAAACTGTACCGGGGATGTCCATAAAACTGTACCGGGGTATTCATAAAACTGTTCCGGGGGATTCATAAAACTGTACCGGGATATTCATAAAACTGTACCGGGGAATTTATTAAAACTGTACCGGGGTATTCATAAAACTGTTCCGGGGGATTCATAAAACTGTACCGGGATATTCATAAAACTGTACCGGGGAATTTATTAAAACTGTACCGGGGTATTCATAAAACTGTTCCGGGGGATTCATAAAACTGTACCGGGATATTCATAAAACTGTACCGGGGATCTTCATAAAACTGTACCGGGGTATTCATAAAACTGTTCCGGTGTATTCATAAAACTGTACTGGGGTATTCATAAAACTGTTCCCGGATATTAATAAAACTGTACCGGGGTATTCATAAAACTGTTCCGGTGTATTCATAAAACTGTACTGGGGTATTCATAAAACTGTTCCCGGATATTAATAAAACTGTACCGGGGTATTCATAAAACTGTACCAGGGTATTCATAAAACTGTATGGGGTTTTTCATAAAACTGTTCTGGGGTATTCATAAAACTGTACCGGCGTATTCATAAAACTGTACCGGGGTATTCATAAAACTGTTCCGGGGGATTCATAAAACTGTACCGGGATATTCATAAAACTGTACCGGGGATATCCATAAAACTGTACCGGGGTATTCATAAAACTGTACCGGGATATTCATAAAACTGTACCGGGGAATTTATTAAAACTGTACCGGGGTATTCATAAAACTGTTCCGGGGGATTCATAAAACTGTACCGGGGTATTCATAAACCTGTTCCCGGATATTCATAAAACTGTTCCCGAATATTCATAAAACTGTACCGGGGTATTCATAAAACTGTACCGGGGTTCAAACTCAGATTCTGTACTCAGCCCAATGTTTTGTTCCAGTTACAAATTAGTAAAAGATTATACTTGCCAATAATTTTGGATGATTTTTAGAGATTTGAAGCCGAGTACCATTTCCAATGCCTTGACTCAACTTTTTGACCATGTCACATGATACAAAAGTTGGTTTAAACACAAAATCCATGCTTGAGCCTGAGAACAGTTTCATGAACCTGGGCGCTAGACAACTGGCAGTCTCAGGTATGAGAGATGACATAGAATCATTGACTATTCCACACAGATAATGAGTGAGTTAGTAAGTAAGATTGTACCTGTGCTGGATCCCTCGGGGCAGTACTGCCCCTCTGGACAAGGACGTCCGGTCGTCCCATCAGTCGGTGTAGAATTATTGGCACCAAAACTGCATACGTAGCCGGCACTGCACGGTCCTTCAAAAGTTGTTAGTCCTGGTGTCTGGCAGTACTTACCAGGATCACAGGGAAAGCATTCGGCTGTAACGAGAGAAAAGGTTCATCAGTAACACTGCAATGATGGTAAAAAGGATTCACAAGTAACACTTTCTACTGTAGGAAGGATAAATGGGATTCATGGGTAACAATCTGTAATATAACAGCTTCAGTTAATACAACAACAATAAGTGGTGAATCTATGTGGAGCAGTCACCAGGCAATGGACACTGGTTGGTGGGTTTTCTCCAGGTACTCCAGTTTTCCGTCACCATCAAAACCTGGCTCATCCTTAAATGACCCTGGATATGAACAGGACATAAAGCATAAAGAAACCAACCCCATTACTGGTACATAGCTTCCTGTAGATATTACTTTATTTGATGATTCTAATTAAGCCTTTCAGTGTTCTAACTTGTTTTCTAAACAATAACGTTAGTTCTTGCTCCCGATCCAACACCAATATGTTCAACCCTTGATATATATATCTTTGTAAAAAAGAAAGTTAAAATAATGCATTCCTTACAATCTGATGCCAATAATTCCACGCTGCCGTAAGAGCCGGAGGGACATGGGTTCTGGTAGTTGTATTGTGTGCTAGTTGGGCAGTAGTAACCTTGCGGACAATTGACAGGACTGATGATTCCAGTCACGTTACCAAGGTCATGGGGATCACAGTAGAATCTCTCAGGACAAGGCAGGCATGTAGCCTGACCATCCAAATAGTTATAGGAGCCTGAAAATATCATAATAGCAAACATTTAGTCATAGCAGTATTAAAGTATGTGCCATTTAGTGCTAGGATATTAAAAATGGCAACCACTCAGTCGTAGTCAAATGAGCCTAAAACATCAGTCACTTACAAACAAGCACTTAAAAATAGCAACAACTTAGTCACAAAAACCTTAAATCAATTGCCGTTAAGTTATGGGGTCCAAAAAATAGCGACTGACCACTTATTCAATCAAACCTTAAAATAGCTTCCATATAAACTTCCTGTAAATGCAAATTTAATGCTTTATTTCATTTGTGTATCGGAACACTTTCTATTGTATCCGACATGTATTTAATGTAACTGACCTCTCTCACAGACGACAGGAGCGGGGCTGCCCTGGGGACAATAATCTCCCATAGGACATCTGTAGGCAGAAGGTGTTGCTGTCGTCTGTCCCTCGGGACAGTAGAAACCTCCATCACACATGCCATTCTCTTCTATCAACCCTGGGCTGTCACAGTAGTACCCTTCAACACATATCAAGACACAAGGATTTAAATAGAAGTTCACAGAGGTATTCTGGTTTTGAAAATTTCACATCACTTATCTGGATAAATAAAGGGTCCCTGTGCAGGAATATGAACCGATTTTTACTAGAAATACTGTCTTTAATTTTTATGTTTCAAACAATGAATTTTTGAAGATATGAATTTGCTGAACTGAATGAACCATATCAGTTTTACTACCGTCTCTTTATATGTCTATAAATAATTTTTCATTGAGATATCTGAATTCAAAATCTTCTGTCATTGCAAATTTGGTATAGAATAGATATAAGTAATAGCGAGTCGGGTGCCTACCTGGTGTACAGGGTTTACAATCAGAGACGTTGGTGTTGCCCGTGGAGTTAGAGAAGGTTCCGGTCGGACAGGCGGTCGAGGTGGGCGAGCCCTCCTCACAATAGTGACCCGCCAGGCACACAAATGAACTGGGGTTTGCCTCAGTCTGACCCGTAGGACAGAAGAATCCAGGGTTGCACTTTCCTGAAACACACCATACACTTAACATTGTATATTTCCTCAATCAAACGAAACTGCACATTCCTGAAACACACACCATACACTTAACATTGTATATTTCCTCAATCAAACAAAACTGCTTGTTTATGAATCTAATGTAACAAAGGACAAAGAAATCAAAGTCAAACACCATGAAGATGGCTGCAAGACAAAAAAATGTTAGGGATAATCAACAATATTTGCCATTTTTTTTTTTTTTTTACATATTTAAACGATACACAAAGTCTTCATAAAATTGAACTTTATATAGATATCAAACATTTTTCCAGAACAAATATGTCTTGAATAGAAATAACATTGAAATAGTAAACTAGTCTGTGTTAGATGTGTACAGGTGACTGATAAGGACACAACTTAACCCCTTTAAATGTTCAACTTAACAACGGTCTCAACAGATCTTCACTTTTTGCATTGACTAAGACGTGTAGTACATACAGGTGTGACATCAAATAACAGCTATATATGGATTCAAACTGACAAATCTTTCTTAATACCATTCACTCACTCTTTCATTTTTACTAGAACAGAAAGCTTGGTTAACTTGCTGTACCTTTGGGTGTGGCGAGTTCGTAGTCGTCGCAGTACCAGCCAGCGGTACAGGAGACGGGAGCTGAGGAACCCTCGGGACAGTATGTGCCTGGCTGACACTTTCCTCCGGTGTAGTTAAACTCTGGACACATACACATGTCTATGGAACTGAAGTTACCTGTCATATATCAAATGGAAAAATATTCTTAAACAGGGTATTTTTCTTGATGTTTAACTTAAATGCAACTTTTTGACGGATTCATGATAAAACTAGAACTCTGACAGGTAAGCAATGGCCTCCTTTTGTGCCTGACCCCAGACTTATTACATCCCTACAAAAATGTAAGACTTTTGGATTCTGCGATAAGGACTGTGTCTTCTATGGTCTATATTTAAGTAACAGTGACCTTGACCTTTGACATTTTTTAAACCCCTATTGCACATCAAAGGACAGACAGAGACACTGTAATTACTACAGGGCACCTGCATCTCCGATTAAAAAACCTCTTTCATAATTACAAATATGTTACCAGAGTGAAATAAACGTACCAATGACTATGGGCTTAGTTTCCACAGATCCTCCAGAACAGAACCAGCCTGCACTGCAGTTTCCTGATGGGGCACTGAGTCCTGCTCCAGAGCAATACTGTCCAGGGGGACAGGTAAGGCAGGACAGTGGGTCACTCTGGGTAGGTAGTGGATTGTAGGACCCGGCTGAACATGGGTACTGGGTGTTGTATTGTGTACCTGCTGGACAGTAGTGTCCTACTTGACAATCAAAGTCTGTCGGCATAGTGGTGTTCTCCAGACAGTAGTAACCCGGTATACACTGATCACATGACCCCTTTGCGGTAACACTAGTGTAAGTTCCAGCTGCACATGAGATAGGCCGAGGTGATCCCTTTGGACAGTAGGACCCTGCTGGACACTCCTGTCCTACGCCCTTGTGGGAAACTGATGATGAGGGATTGGATGTGTCCACACCATACTCACAGTAGTAACCTGACATACAGCCTCCATCTGGCTCAGGGGAGCCTGGAGTACCACAGTAGTAACCACCTGTAATACAAGGTCAAATATATATATAGTCACAGAGAACAAAAGTTCATGTCAGATAATTTTAGAGTAATCTCCCCTTAATAATTACAATATGTGCCCTCCTCTAGGACATTATCACACAAGCTTTAATACGTAAGTACTACAATCACATACCTGTACACTGTGTGCACTCTGGTTCTTGTGTCAGTCCAGTCGTGTTTCCAAACGTTCCTGTGGGACAAGGTTGCAGGTCTGCTCCAGTGCCTTCTGGGCAGAAATACCCTTGAGTACAGATGTCGGCACGGTCGCGGTTCACACAGTAATAGCCAGCCGGGCAGACATAACAGGCCGAGGCCCCAGTGTGGTTCATGTAGGTACCATTACCACACGGCTCTGGTTTGGTGGACCCAATTTCACAGAAATGACCCTCAGGACAAATATCACCTGTATATAGAAGGCAGATAAAGAGAACTGTAACATCTGAAGTCTGCCCTACCTTCCACTGAATATTTACAAAGGTACAACAGGTGTACTAGTCAAGAAATTCTGTAAACGTATTTGTTCAGCAGATCTTGCATGCTCCTTTTATTGACTTCATATTTAATGAACATCATCATCAATTTACTTACTGTCTCTGTTCATTAATTTAAGAATTTTAAACGTTTGTAACAATTTTTTAAAAGCATTTTAGTTCCTCCTTACCAGCCCTATATAGCACTAAATGACCTGGTGTTTATTACTCAATAAACCTCAGCATAATGCCACTCATTATTAGCCACTGTTCCTACTCCTTTTCCTTACATTTCTCATTTCCCTTATACATCTCCTTTGATATAATAGCTAACACATTATTATTAGGTGATGAATAGCCTGTATTTGGCCAAGAGGTGATGACCTACCTGTATTTGACCTATACATGATGACCTACCTATATTTGACCTATAAGTGATGACCTACCTGTTTTTGACCTATAGGAGAGGACCTACCTGCATTTTACCTATAGGTGATGACATACATGTATCTGACCTATAGGAGAGGACCTACCTGCATTTTACCTATAGGTGATGACATACCTGTATCTGACCTATAGGTGATGACCTACCTGTATTTGACCTGTAATTGATGACCTACCTGTATTTGACCTATAGATGATGACCTACCTGCATTTGACCTATAGATGATGACCTACCTGTATTTGACCTATAAGTGATGACCTACCTGTATTTGCCCTATACATGATGACCTACCTGTATTTGACCTGTAAGTGATGACCACCCTGTATTTGACCTATAAGAGAGGACCTACCTGTATTTGACCTATAGGTGATGACCTATCTGTATTTGACCTATAGGTGATGACCTACCTGTATTTGACCTATAAGTGATGACCTACCTGTATTTGACCTATAGGAGAGGACCTACCTGCATTTTACCTATAGGTGATGACATACCTGTATTTGACCTATTAGTGATGAACTACCTATATTTGACCTATAGGTGATGACCTATCTGTATTTGACCTGTAGATGAAGACTTACCTGTGGTGCCGTCGGTTGGAGCACTGGTGTTTGCTCCTAGAGTACAGTAGTACCCAGCAGTACAGAGGTCAGTCACATTGGTCTTTCCAATACTCGTACAGTAAAAACCTGGCAACATATATTGGAATTCACATGTAATATCATATTTCAGTTCAAATTTTAAAACAGACAAATTTTAAAATACAATTATAAATCAATGAAAAATCATGACTTTAAGTAAAATCTTCTTTATTAATGTATTGACTTTGATTTCTTCAACTTCGCAGTTTCTGGGGCTCTCATGATTTTTAATGTTAAACCTCAACTTGGAGAGTAAAACTCTTTACCTTCAGTTGAGCTTTCCATGTTTACAGCACAAAGTCATTGTTTATTCTATTAGTCTTAGTACATCCTTACCTGGACCATTGATACCATGCTTACCTGGACTACAGCTTATACAGTCATTAATGTCTCCCATTCCCGTAACGTCTAGGTAAGTCCCTGACGGACACTTGACAGCATCGTAAGTACCATTTGGGCAGTAGTGTCCGGCTGGACATACATCTCCGTAGGACTGAGCTACTGGTGCAGGTTCAGTTGATGCCAGGGAACAGAAATGACCTACAAACGCAAACACTCTGGGTCAGAAATACTGAGTTCGTCATAGACAGGTCTGTATGGATATGGTTCAATAATGGCATATAAGATCTTATGATAACTGTTATTTTATTCTACCTAGCTACCCCAAATATGGATGTCTCACCACCAACCAAGGCAGCGTTTTCCAGAGCATATTTCATTTATTCTACTCATGAATATTTTAGTTATCTAATATTTTCATTCACATTTACGTTGGATTTAAGAAGGCTGTCCACTATAAAAAACAGCTTTTTGCTGCATTTAACAATGATGGTCTTACCTGCCCAGCAGGTGCCCGACACTGCGGTCAGTCCAGTCTGGCCGCAGTAGTGTCCTGGGGTACAAGCCTGACATTCACTTTCATTGACCAACCCCTGAACGTTACTGAAGGTGCCGATAGGACAGCCGTTGCCTGTGATACTGCCGGCCAAACAATAGCGACCAGCGGTACAGACATCTCCGGTAGTACCATCTGCGGGGGTGGCATTGTGAGCTGACATTGTACAGAAATGACCTGGGGCACACAACGCTGTTGGCTCGATGTTACCTACAATACAAACACAACAATATCATCTACTATAAGACACACACTATGGTTGGCTGTATAAATAAAGACAACAATATCTTTATATTGAAAAAGCATCAAATTATAACTTTTTCCAAAATCGATTAATTGTGTCTTTAACTTTCTCTTAAACTCAATGAGTAAGATATTAATAAGAAATCTACATGATGTATTCATTGATCAGCTCATAATTGATGTACCTTCTCCACCACAGTAGCTTCCTGCGTTACAAGGAGAACACTGTGTGATGCTGGTCAGACTTGTCACGTTGCTATAGGTACCAGCTGGACAGAGGAATTCTCTTTCCTCCTTGGTTCCCTGTGGACAGTATGATCCTACTGGACAGGCAGTCGGCACGGATACTCCACGGTAACTCCTGTAGCGATCAGTGTAGTTAGCAGTCCCGGTAACGTTGGCATCCAGTACCTCATAGTCACCTGGAAAATGAAAGGAGAGAAAGAAAATTGAATAATAGGTGTTGGATGTGAGCACGCTAGGGTTCTCGAGTTCACAGATATACTGGCAAGCTTTAAATAAGAAATGTTCTTCAGTATATGAAGACATGAAAAAATAAGCCAACCAATTCACTTCTCACCGAATGCTTTGCAGTATGATCCAGCAGGACAAATGTCACAGGTGCTCTGTTTCCAGTGGGGCTGGTAGTAGCCTGAAGGACAGCCCGTCTCGTTCCAGCTCCCCTGTTCACAGAAGTGTCCCGGGCTGCAGGCCAGGGTGGTGGGGCGGGCAGAGTCCTGTCCTTCTGGACAGAAGTAGCCTGCGTCACAGTCTGCAGTGGGTGTGGCAAGACCATACTGCTGACAGTACTTGCCAGCTGTACAGGGCAGGCAGTCAGTCTCATTGGTGTTCTGTTGACGATCTGTATACAAATTATGCAGCTAATTTCAATTTAAGTCGTGAGAAACATTTTAGAGCAATCAGTTAGTCAGCAAAGTCGTTTAAAATGGAATTGAACACATCTGCTCATGCATTGCCAACTGTCAAATTCAAGTTCTTGATTGTGTTGACCTCACTACTAATTGCTGACTTAATTGATTAACAAATACAGTTTATACGAAATACACATTTGGTTTTGGACACAAAAGAAAGACGTAGCCTGTATGAACGTGAAATCAGTCATCATTTTGTTGTGTTATTTAAGCTATGTGAGCTGGAGGCAAAATACAATAAAAGGTTGTTGGCAAATAATGGGATTATTAAAATTGAAGAATGCACATAAGCTTCTTATAATAGTAATGTACACAGATACACAGCTGTTTAAGACTTACTACAACTTACAAACTCTGTCCTTACCTTAGGTAAAGATATTACTAGTTAAACTAGTTGTCAACCGTTTTATTTCCCATTTTTATAGTCTATGATGATACAAGAGTCGGGGAACATTTTATAGCTTGAAAACACATTATAGTAACAATCTTATTAATTTCTTCATACTATCTATCGTAAGCAAATTAAATTAATCAAATATTTCTTATATTGATGTTGTTGTTTTTTTAATGTAATTGATTTACTAAATTTATTTTGAATGTTTATGCAAGATTTCATGTGTTGTAACTCAAAGATAATCGTAATTCAGCATGCTCTGTTGAAGATGTTGTACAAATCAACAGCTACCTGAATAGGTCCCTGGGGCACACGCTATCTGTACAGTTGTGCCGTTGGGGCAGTAGTGTCCCATGTCACATGGAGTGGGGTTGGGTATACTGGCACTTCCATTACAGAAGAACCCAGCGTAGCATTCCCCAGTCGGTGTCGCCAGCCCGGGTGTCTCACAGTACATTCCAAGGGAACATTCCTGCTTCTGGGATGAGCCAGTTGGGCAATAGGTGCCTGAAATTATAGTTCAAGGATTTGTCTTAAAGATGGACTTTTATATTGGTAGTTTCTCACAAAGGTTGATTCTTAATCAGTTTTATCATGAACAACACTAGAGATACAACTAATGAAGATGATTTCGCTGGTATTTTGCAGGAGGATGCTACCTGCTACCCTGCAGTGTTTTGAAATATTGTAAGTACAGGGGTATATTCTGATGCAATACTCATTTCTACTTAATCTCAAGTCACTTCAAGTCGGATTAACAATGTTGTACACAGTAGTCTAGTGTTTTACCTGGAGTACAGATGCCACCGGTGTCGTTGAGCGTGTAGACTGGGCAGGTGAGATTGAAGTTGTACACATCGGAGGAGCTAACCCACATGGAAGGTTGGGAGCTCCACGCCCCTCCGGAGCAGTACCAGCCGGCTGAACAGTCACCGGAGGGTTCAGATAGACCCGTGCCATCACAGTACTTTCCAGCTAGTAGTTATAAAATAAATCTTTTACAGAATCAATCAACATTCTATATACACAAGGTCTGTAGTACTAGTAAAATTATTAAGTGATTCCTTATCCTTGTGTTATACTTTATATGAAATAACTGAAAAATCACGACAAACAAAATTATGTCTAAAATGAATTAGTTGCTTTTGAAAGTGAAACAAACAATTCTTTTTTTAAAGTCACACTTGATGGCTACAAAGGCTTCAATGTAAAGATGTTTTGAATTTCAATCTAGTCCTCTTAAAAATGCATCTTTAAGCTTTGTAGTATACAAATCAAATAGCAAAATAGTAAAGATTGATGTAATAGAAATCACTTTCCTGTTATATGATGTACTTCCATGACAGTACAGAGGTCCTATTGTAAAAAATATCACAAGGAAAGTTTGGTGAATAATATTTCAACCTAGAAGAGCACTTTCACAATTCAAAGAATTTGTATAATTTTTTTATTGGCCTCAATCCATCAGTTCTTGTTTTGAAGTATTTTCTGATGTGTATATGAATATTATTTTTAAAATCCCTGACCTATAATTCTGTTGATAGTGACCTTGAATATGTTTTGGTATATTATTTACACCTTTAAAAATCCCTGACCTATGAATCTATGGAGAGTGACCTTGAATATGTTGTGGTGTTCGACTTACCAGTACAGGAAACACAGTCAAACTCGCTCTCCCCGAGGGTCCTGTTGTTGTAGGTACCAGCCGGACACAAGTACTGGGTGGAGAACTCGGTCCCCACTGGGCAGTACGATCCTGTGACACAGAGAAACACAAATACAGTCCAGGTTATATTATCAACTCGGACATTTTTCACCGACCTTTTAGCTGGTAATTTGCAACTCCTTATGACATAGCCACTGAACGTTGGGTCACATTAACACCAAATTTTAGGACATGACACTGAGCTTTAAGACACATTGACAATGAACTATGACCCTGGGACTAAATCACTGGAGTAACAGTCAGAGCCCTAGTAGGCTTATGCTGGTAGCACATGTGTATTTGTCTCTTCATGCTGAGCTAACACTTGTATGGTTATATGGTGGGAGTCTTAACTGTTTACAAGATACAATTAAAAAAAAAAATCCCCAGGGGCTGGCAGAACTCAAGGGCAAACAAGATAGCGTGAGAGTTTTTGTATTTTCATGTCCAGCTACTGTACACATAATTTGGTTAAGAGTGGGCATTCATGTTTTGGTCCCACAATGCTCTAGATAAAATTTAATCAAACTCTGCTTAGCCATTCTGCACAAGTAGCATTTTAAAGGAAAAGTTGATGATGGAGACATACTGCGCTACAGCATTAATTCATTAGCCCATTGGGCAGATAACCCAACAATTGGCAGTTAGTATATTCTCCCATGAACACTGACCTTTGGGACAAGGTGTGCTGGTGTAGGTGGTGGAGTTAGCAGGACAGTAGTAGCCAGTCTCACAAGATTTACAGGTGGCCTGGTGTGTCAGGTCGGCGTATGTACCGGCACCACAGCCTATTGGTTCAGTTGTACCAACTGGACAATAGTGACCGAGAGGGCAGCCACCTGAAAATTAAAATAATACATGTACCAACTGGACAGTAGTGACCGAGAGGGCGGCCACCTGAAAATTAAAAAAATACATGTACCAACTGGACAGTAGTGACCAAGAGGGCAGCCACCTAAGAAACAAACAACATTTATAGAGTTACACTTATTCACATGCTCCTACAAAGATTAAAATATTAAGGCATAGAATAAATTTGGATAAAATTTGCCAAACACTTTTTTACTTCTATACAATATAATAAATCAAAACAATATTTCAACACTAGATTTTCGTGATACTAATTTTGAAAATGGATGATATTTAATTACACTAAATACTTTCTTATTTACTAAATATATTGAACTTTATCCACAGAATATATCCTCTTTATACTCCTCCATACTCTTTTGGATACCTACCCCCAAATCCTGTGTTGTTATTACTGGGAGAGGCTGTGTTGACTCCACTCTGACAGTAGTAGCCGGCAGCACAAGGTGCAGTTTTATTGTACTGTCCCGGGTTGTCACAGTACCAGCCCCCATCACACTGAGTACATTCACTCTCCTGCATCAACATCTCCACTGGGTTGTAGGTTCCTGCAGGGCACAGTTCCATATTAAAGCCAGTGTTGGCGGGGCAGTAGCGCCCCACAGGGCAGGGGTCAGCTTGTACCTTGTTGACACAGTAGTAGCGGGCAGGACAGGTATCACAAGCACTGGCCAGGGTGTGGTTCATGTAGGTACCGTCCGCACAAGGGATGGGACTGGCTGTTCCCATGGGGCAGTAGAAGCCTGGTGGACACACGTCACCAGTGGTGCCATCTGTTGGTGAACTACTGTTGGCACCGCGGTCACAGTAATAGCCTGGGTCACAGTCACCTAGGATACAGAGAAGTAAGTGCTTACAAGAAGTACACCAATAGCCTAATTCTCAGTCTTCTTTCATATAGAGAAACACTTAATTAACTTATTCACCCCTGAAGACACATTTGAACTCTTCTAAATCAAAGGTTGACCAATTATCAGGACTCTCTTAATGATTCTGTAGGCACAAGTTGTATAAAATCAGAACCTTACAGTCGTGGAGTTCAATTAGTAGCGACATCTTATTGTCAGAAATAGATGCTATTAAAAACTAAAAAATGTCTGGAAGACATAAATGCCCCCGCTGCCATGTGAAATTTGTTTCAGTGTTCTATAAAAAGTTAAACCACTTTGTTCTTGATACCCTGAAACATGCACACACACAAGGTACTACACTTAAAGTTGATTTTAATATTCATATGTTTTTTTCTGAATGTTATTACCATCTCCATAACATATTGAATGAAGTTGCTAAGTGTTTAAATTGAATCATTAGATGATTTTCTATATATAGCAACAGTGACCTTGGCCTTGACCCTGGAACCCTGAAACACAACAGTGTCTGTTGTAGTACTTGACCTTTGTATAAAGTTTGACCAAAATCTGTCAGAGAATGAAGTTACTAAGTGTTAACATTGAATCGGGACGGGACGGGATGCGATGCAACGGGACGGACATAGGTAACACTATATGCCCCCCCATTTTATGGCGGGGGCATAATAATATGGATAAGAGGTCAACCATGAACATACTTTATGTATGGAATGAACTGTTATAAAAGAAAAAGAAAAAAAATCAATGACTTTGCAATAATGAAAACCAAACATGTATAAAATTTGAAGATGTTTCAAAAATTCAGGTTGTAAAGCTACCAGTGTAGTTCATGAGTCCTTCCGTTAAACAGTATTTGCCAGGAGCACAATCCAGGCAGTCAGCCACAGAGGTTCTGCCAGTGTCTGGGAGGTAGGTCCCTATAGGGCAGGGTAGAGGTGTACCAGTCCCCACGGGACAGTAGTCACCCGCTGTACAGGTGTCACCGTACGATTGTGCTGTTGGATTCTGAGATATGGCACCCAGAGAACAGTAGTAGCCGGCTAAACAGTTTCCAGTAGGAGCCGTCAAACCTTCAATGAATGTGAATAATTAGTTTAGAACTTTGTCTTTTACATTACTTTGCACATTTTTTAATTACAGTTTTTCACAAAAAGTATGGTGAAATACTTAAACTAACAAAAATGGTGATATGTTTGTAAATGGTAACCACAGCAGTTTATAAGGTCATTGCGCCTCATTATGAATGCGCCAATTGAACTTCTTGTAAATTATTCTCTATTACATATTTTCAGGGTGCGATAATTCACCAATTCACCGATATGAGAAAATGTGACAATGCACTAAAACAAGTATGTCTGGAGTAATTTGGTATCTAATGTCGTATATTCCGGGGCGAAAAGCCTCCAAGCATTCATTAGCCATGACCAATGTGAGTTAATAACACACAGTCACATGTCAGTACAAAGTGGCCCACCTTCTGATGCACAGTACATTCCTGGAGTACATGGTGTACAGGAAGACACATTCAGGAGTCCGGTTGTGTTGCTGTAGGTCCCCTGGGGACACTGGGTACCCTGGCCTGACCCTGCAGGACAGTAGTCTCCAACTCTGCACTCATAGCCCTTCACGCCATCAGTAGGCCCAGCAACAGTAGATCCAGATACACACACAAATCCAGCATTACACGGTCCAGTGGGATCGGTCAAGCCTGAACATATCAACAGTATCTTAACATTCCCATTATAATTCCCTTTTTGTTTTAAATCAAATAATTCATACTTTATAATTTAGGAACGAGAGCCCCATGGGCCTTAACAATCACCTGAGTTGTAATACAATTGTTATATTGCTATATTGAAATCATTTTACTGGTTTCTGAAAAAACAAAAATGTGAATTGTTTACAGAGGGACAAAACATGATGACAGACGAAAGGCTACCAAAGTGTAGGTCACATGAAACTTTGCCTCAGCTGACTTAAATAAGAAATTTAGTACAGGTCTACTCATTTAAATTTCACCTATTTACAAATAATAACTTAGAACATCACAAAATAAACAAAAGATATGGTTCCCAAAGCAATCAAACTTTTTTAACAGATGTAATTATTTTCCTAAATACTAACCTGGAGTATCACAGAAGTAACCAGGACTACAGTCCTGACACTGTGTGGCATCCTCTAGCCCAGTGGTGTTACTAAAGCTACCGACAGGACATGGGTAGGTCTGGGCACTGACTGTGTTGTTGAGACAGTAGTAACCGGTCGGACATTCTGCTGGAGTGACCACGCCTGTACTATTCATACCACAACAGGCAACAGCCTCAAGTGGATCACAGTATCTGGAATACAGACATGTAGAATATTAGTGGCAAAATGACAACTTAAGCTCAAGAGCAAATGTGGTAGTAATCCTGTTGGAGTATGTTTCCTATATGCAAAAGTTTTGTGAGGATTGCTGGCTCTATGTGTGACAGCCAACGTGGCAGGAACTCTTGTGGGTATGTTTCACCATATACTAGAGTCAATGTGGCACCACAGTGTTGGTATGGTAACCAGATGTGACAGTCAATGTGGCATCACAGTGTTGGTATGGTTACCAGATGTGACAGTCAATGTGGCATCACAGTGTTGGTATGGTTACCAGTTGTAATAGTCAAAGTGGCAGTAGTGCTGAGGGTATGGTATTCAGATGTGACAGTCAATGTGGCATCACAGTGTTGGTATGGTTACCAGATGTGACAGTCAATGTGGCAGTAGTGCTGAGGGTATGGTATTCAGATGTAATTTTTAAAATATTGCAATTACTTGCATAACAATTCAAATAATAGATGTAAAATATCAACTTTATTCATTTTGTTAAGAAATCCTTCATTAGTGTCAATGAAACAAATCATATGTTTTAGTGTAATATCAATTAATAGATACTTACTTTCCCTTTGGACAGTCTTTGCATGCAGCCATGTTGGTCTCATCCTGGTAATATCCAGCTGCGCATGCCACTGGCTGACCAGTTCCTCCGGGACAGTAGTGACCAATGGTACAGTTAAATTCTGGGGGTGTGGCAGATTGTTGACCGGCTGGGCAGTAGTACATGGGGGCACACTGACCTGTGTAGTTGGTGTTTCCTGTGCCAGCACAGAAGAACCCGTCAGGACAAAGATCACAGTTTGTCAGATTGGTGTTGCCGTCGGTGTTGGACATTGTGCCTGCTGGACAAGGTATTGGGGTGTTGGTACCTGCGGGACAGTAGCGTCCTTTCAAACAGACTTTGTTTGGAGGGTCTGGCTGTGTGTCGCTCCCATTACAGTAGTAACCTGCACTGCAGGGTCCGCTAGGTAGGGAAAGGCCATCATGCATGCAGTAATTCCCACCGTCACAGGCCGTCGGACCAGCCGATCCTGCAGGACAGTAGGTTCCTGCCAAGCACTGAATGCCAATCAGTGTATCATTTGGCTGTGATTTGTCTGAGGCTCCTAGGCAGTACCAGCCTGCCGAACAGTTCCCAGTGGGCTGTGGGAGACCATCAGCTGTAGGACAAAGCAGGGACAGACATGTAGGTTAAACATCAACATATCAATATCATATAATTTCAACATAACGAAATAATCTTAACAGTAAGGCAGTATCTGTACATAATTCCAACAAATAGCTAGACAATATTTGTTAACCAAATACTTGCTCGCCTCCCACTAAGACAGAATAGGCTCAACTCTAACTAAATGAACATATATTGCATTTTGCACTATCTTTGTAACCACAAATACATTTATAGTGAAATTAAATTCTCCCGTGAATACCACGAACTACTCAATATAATACCTACTTTCACAGTATTTGCCTGGTGGGCAGTCAAGGCACTTCTAAGGACCTTCACTGATATTGACTGAACAAGTATTGTATTTAATTTTGTGCTATCTACATAACTGCAAACATAGTGAAATTAAATCCCCTGTGAATATTACCAACTACTCAGTATAATACCTACTTTCACAGTATTTTCCTGGCGGGCAGTCAAGGCAGTCCTCGGGACCGTCACTGCCATTGACTGGGTTGTAGGTGCCCTTAGAGCAGGGGTTCTGGTAGGGGTCTGTGGTGTTGGCTGGACAGTAGTAGCCACTTGGACAGGGCTGGGCAGAGTAAGAGGTCGAGTTCTCCACACAGTAGTAGCCAGCCGGACACGAGGAGCACACTTGCTGACCCAAATTGTCACTGGCAATGAAATAATATAGACGTATGAAGTCTAGGTACATTATTTTAATGTTTCATTCAAACATAAATACGTAAAATTTGAATTTAAACCATTTTTATTGCATAATACAACAACAGGATTACACACAAGTAATCACAACCTATTTATTCCTTTTCCTAATTGAATTATAAAACAATACAATGCTTGCCCTGATTACTTACCTGTATTGACCAGCAATACAAGGGAGTGGTCTTTCTGTACCAGCTGGACAGTAGAATCCTAACGGACAAAGTCCTCCAGTTCCTGTGTTGGCACCTGAGGGTGTATCTGAGTCCACACCTGAAAATTAACAGAAGTCATCTGTTGTAAAATTCTGGCCAGGCTCCAACTGACTCCAAGGGTACCTCAATTTTTTTTTATTTTTTTTTACTTGTTTTGTTATACAATGAATATTCATTGATCAGTTTTTAAAAATTTGAAAAAGAAATTCTTAAAACTACTGGATGTTTCAAACAAATCCAAAGGCAAAAAGGTCGTTAAAAATATTTTATTGTGATAATAACCAGAAGTTATAATTCATTTGAAGGAACACCAGTAGAAACCACCAAAATTACAAGATTTGAATGCTGTTAATTTAGACATTACAGTTGAAAGGACATGAAGCTTTCACTTACCTAGCTCACAGTAGTAAGCAGCAGAACAAGGGCCACTAACAGCTGCCAGTCCGGGAACCAGGCAGTAGTTTCCTCCTGTACATTGGGTACACTGGGTCACATTGGAGATGCCATAGGTGGGGTTAAACGTTCCGGCGGGACACTTCTGAAGATCAGCTCCAGTCCTGGCTGGACAGTAGTACCCTGGTAGGCACTGGTCAGCTCGGTCACGGTTCACACAATAATAACCCTCAGGACAGTCGTAACAGACCGATGCGCCAGTGTGGTTGGTGTAGGTACCGTTCGGGCAGAAGTTGTGGGTTGGAGACCCAGCAGGACAGGCAGAGCCTGCAGGACAAATGTCCCCAGTGATTCCGCCTGTTGGTTCAGCCTGAGTAGCTCCGGCAATACAGTAGTATCCTGCAGTACAGTCGCCAGCGACTGCAGAGGAACCTGTTGAGTTGCAGAACTTGCCAGGCTCACAGCTGAGACAGGCGGAGTCATTAGTCATACGAACATTAGGCTGGTAGGTACCGGCAGGACAGGCCAAAGGTTCATAACTGCTTGCAGGACAATAGAACCCAGCAGGACATTCATCGCCGTATGATTGCCCCACCGGATTAGCTGATTCAGAAGCATTTGAACAGTAAAATCCAGCTAGACAAGGCCCGTCTGGTGCACTTAGTCCGGGAGAGGCACAGTACTGGCCTGGTGTACAGGCTGTACAGTCTGTTAGTGCCGGCAGCATAGTTCTATTTCCATATGTGCCTTTGGGACAGGGTGTGGGACTGGACCAGCCCTCCTCACAGTAAGTACCCTGTGGACAGACGTTGCCGGTGATGTTGTCAGCCGGACTGGGAGTACTCGACTTTAGTACACAATAATATCCTGAGTGACACTTTCCTGCTGGTTCCGTCATATTCTGATTCTCGCAGTAATAACCAGGCGGACAGTCGTTACATTCAGCAATGCTTTCAAGACCAGTGGTGTTGCTGAACGTCCCAATTGGACATGGATTTTCCCGGTCGGTCATTGTACCGTTTGGACAATAGAAGCCAGCAGGGCAGACTTTGGGAGTCACCACACCATGGGATGGAGCTGAAACACCACTCTGTTGTTCACCGATAGCTTCGTTCCTATCACAGTACATACCTGCAGAGCAGTCTATACATTCACCTCGCTCCTCGAGGGGCTGATAGGACCCTGAAGGACATGGGGTCTGAGTCCCACTTCCCTTTGGACAACTGTGTCCTTGCAAGCATTTGTTACCAGGTGGTTGTGTTACAATCATTCCCTCTGGACAGAACCAGCCTACATCACAGTCATCATTAGGCAGAGCTCTTCCTTGTCCAGAACAGTACATTCCAGCTGTGCAAGGGAGACAACTGGTGATGTTGTGAGTACCGAACATATCATTGAATGTGCCTTCATTACATGCTATAGCATATGGACTAGCTGTGGGACAGTAATGGCCCTTCGGACAGATGTCACCAAATGTTTCGTTGACTGGATTGGACAGGGTTGAGCTACCGTTACAGAAATGGCCAGCAGTACACTCCCCAGTATAGTTAGCGAGGCCATCAGTACCACAGAAAAATCCTCCAGGACAAGGTGTTGGGGAATCAGATCCTTCAGGGCAGAAACTCCCAGCAACACACTTCCCTCCAATGTTGGGGTCAGATGGCGTGGCATCCCAGGAGCCAGGGTAACAGTAGTAACCTCCTGTACACAGCCCTGCTGGGGCGGGCAGGCCCTGGTTAGGGCAATAGGACCCGGCAGGACACACGTAACATGAGGTGATGTTGTGGGCCCCAGTGAAACTGTTATAGGTACCATTGGAGCAGGGGTACTGTGATGAGAACTGGGTCCCTTCTGGGCAATAGTGACCTATAAACAGAATTAAAAGTAATTCTAGACTAACATATATAAACTGACATGATTTTATTCTAGAAACACATTATTTTGAAATGAAGGTTTCAAAACTTGTTAATACTAGTCATCTTGCAATTTGAACACATTGCATTCTGCGTTATAGTAGTCTCTGTTTAACACCTCACCCATCCAGTCCTACTATCATGTGATTGATTCAGCATTTAGGCTGCATTACAAAATTCCTGTCTAAAAAACATGGATCTATAATAAAAGCATGAACTTACTCAAAGACATCCAGTGTTAAATACAACATATCAGGACTAGTACCTACATCATGCTTGTATACCTGAAGGAAGCTTTATATATCATTGGTACTAATCTACAATCCAAAATGAATGGTAGACATAATGTTTCATAGGATATCTATTCATACCTGCAGGACATTCCGTTGTGTTGGAGCTGCCCGTCGTACAGTAGAAGCCAGCTGGGCACACCGTACAGTTGGACTGTTGCTCCTTGTCATTGTAGGTTCCAGCATCACATTGAACAGGCAGACTAGATCCCTCTGGACAATACGAGCCCACAGGGCAAGGCCCTCCTGAGGCAGAGATAGAGGATGGACTTGAGGAGTTGGAGCCGAGGACACAGTAGAATCCGGCATTACACAGTCCTGATGGGTAGGACAACCCTGGAATGTCGCAGTAGGAGCCAGGGCTGCAATCCTGACACTCTGACTCTGCCATCAGTCGAGTATTGTTGTTGAATGTTCCTGCGGGACACTGAGCAGGCTCCTGTGTCTGAGCCACACAATAGTGACCCATGGGACAGGGACCAGCATCACCAGTAGACAAGGAGCTTGGTGTGGGGGAGTCGGAACCACTTCGACAGTAGTATCCTGCAGCACATGGTCCTGTAGGTGTAGTTAGATTGGTTGTGTCGCAGTAGAACCCTCCTGAGCATTGAGTACACTCTGTGAGGTTGGACAGCATGGTCGCACCACCAAATGTTCCTGCAGGGCAGGTCTCCCATACCAGTCCCGTCCCTTCTGGGCAGTAGAACCCCTGAGGGCAGGCTTGGGGGTCAAATCCTGGCTCACAGTAGTACCCGGCCGTACAGGATGAGCAGGCAACTGTTTGTGTGACTAATGTATAAGTACCGGCCACACACTGCTTGGGGATAGCTGTGCCTTCTGGACAGTAATGGCGTACTGGACAAACATTTCCAGTGGAATCAGCTGGTGTGGCAATGGAGGCATTCATAGTACAATAATAGCCAGCAGTACAGTTACCGACCGGGGCTGTCAGTCCATCTGTCGGACAGTATGTTCCTGGGTCGCAACCGGTACAGTCAGACTGGTACGTTATACCTTGAAAATCAAACACCAGCTTTAAAAGCATATAATGTTTATAACAAAAATGAAATCAATAATACATCTAAAAAAATAATCATTATAAATAGTCAAAAATGAACAGTAAATAATTAAACTTTCATAAAAGTTCTTGCAATAATTGACTCATTAAAGGAGAACTGACAGGTAAAAAAACGATAAAGATTTCAACCATCATTTAAATATTCAATATTTTAATTACAATAGTGGTTTACATAACCTCAAGGAAACTATTCTAAAGTACTGAATTGAAGAGATGATGGACATTTATAGATTTAACAAAATCAAGAGAGTGAAAGAACAGCTAATCCCGAAGCACTACATAATCCCTTTTTCTTATATTGGCAGGTGGTAGCTAGCTGTGGTTCTCGTTTATAATACACCAAACCATCTAAATATTACAGTAGAGAATCTGTTTAACATTTGGCAAGTGAAGATGAGTATCAAAGATAAACTCAAGGAAACAACCACATCCTACCTCCTGCAGGATCTGAAACTACAACCTTGTGGTCAATAGGTCAATAGGTCAGTGATAACTAGCTGCTATGATACTCTCCCCGGGGGAGGGGGGGTCAATAGGTCGATAGGTCAGTGATACCTAGCTGCTATGATACTCTCACCGGGGGAGGGGGGGTCAAAAATAAATCAATTCCTAAGGCAACTCCATTTTATTTGTGAATGTTATAAACTTATTTCCTAGTTAACCTCTCAATGTAAATAATATTCATGGGTCAGCATTAAGTTTCACATTGTTTATTATGAATGCAACAAGAGGCCCAATGGGCCTGCGCTCACCTGGTATTAATCTCACACTTGTAAATTTAAAAGTGGACTAAAATACAGCTACAGGTAGAATATCAGTGTGACCTTGAATGTCAAACAATGACATTAGGTTGAAAGTGGGTCAAGGTCATTAATTTGAACAAATTTGGTAGCCCTGATTGCTACAGGCCAAATATCAGTCCCCTGGGCCTTTTGGTTATTGAGAAGAGGTTGTTTGACGATTTTAAGACATTTGACACCTGTGACCTTGAAAGTTGGTCATGGTCATTCATTTGAACAAACTTGGTAGCCCTTCATCCCAGCATGTTACTTGCCAAATTTAAGCACCCTAGGCCTATTGCTTATTCAGAAGAAGTTGTTTAAATGTTCTAAACATATTTGACCCATGTGACCTTGAATATAAATCAAGGTCATTTATTTGAACAAACTTGGTAGCCCTTCATCCCTGCATGCTTCTGGCTAAATATCATTACCCTAGGCCTATCGGTTATTCAGAAGAAGTTGTTGAAAGTTTTTAAACATATTTGACCCCTGTGACCTTGAATATAGGTCAAGGTCATTTATTTGAACAAACTTGGTAGCCCTCTATCCCT